AGATAGAGCTGGAATTAGGGCCTAACAGCTTTTGTAAACAATGACTTCAATCGATGATTTCTACAAACTCAAGGCTCGCCCAAGCAAACCAACCTCTTCGTCGGGTAGGTCTGGTCTGCGTGGGCGTGCCTTTAGTTCCTAGAAATCATCGATAGAAGTCATTGTTTACAAAAGCTGCTACGCCCTAATTCCAGCTCTATCTAGAAATGACCCATGAACAACTTTTAAGCCTCCACCATATTTCCATTATTTTGTTTACTCTTTAAATTCTTCGTTTTTCAGTACATTTCACATAAGATTTAATATGCCGCTTACCGAGAACCATTTTAATAATTTTGGAAATTAAATAGGATTTTTATATTACCGGTTATGAAAATCAGAGCTGAAAAAAACCTTTCTTCTACACTCAAATAAGCTGAAAATGAAGGCAACCTTGAAAGATAAACCAACTACCTGCATGCATTTGAATTTTGACATGATAACATGCTCTTGATCAAGGCAACCGCTGAGTTTCGAAGTCAACATTTGTTTTTGTTCATTCAAAGATGCGTATTCATTATCGCCTGTTCTGTTGTAATATCAATATGGATAATCATCTTGGTGGGGATGATTTTGAGTATCAAATGCGAAATGATTATTTTCGTTTTACATCAATATACCGTTGTGGAACGTGTTATGTTGCTTTTTTCAGTCAGATCGATGGAACATTATTATAAATAATCATTTGTGCCTAATTGAATTTGTTTTTTTTTTTCTTGTGAGGATTGGAAACTCAAGCGTTGATACATATTAACAAACCTGTATTCGTTGATGGATTGACTCATTTGTTCATTTCACTCGTATGTTAACAGGGAAGATTTTCAAAACAAACGCAATTCATCTACCCTGGATAGACGCGATAGTCAGTGCGTTTGAGATTAAATGAGAAAAACAGACACTGATCAAAATAAAGATTATTTTGAATCCTTTTCAAGTGGATTCAGTAAGCGGCTAGGGAAAATGGGTTAAAAAAGGTTTTGATTGCTTTTATTGTAGCTTAAATACGGGTTTCAAATGGTTCTCAATACATTCGTCAATCTTATTAAGCTTATAAATTGTTTTTTTAGCATGTAATTTAGTATAATTTTAAGTTAAGTTTAAATGTTTCAATTCAATATTTGTATGTCTCATACTTTAATTTTTTAGGTATTTGTTAAAGTCTCCAAAATTTCTGCTAACCTCGATACAACTTGAGATGCTACTTGCGAATCCTCCTCCTCCAAGGATCCTGTTTTCTTCATAGTGTTTAATCTCGTAAATGTATATAGATATCAAAATTTTGACAATTGTTCGAATTTCACAATTGTTACAATTGTACAAGTCCTGAATTTGGAAAATTTCACAAACACGGGACATAGGAGATTTGCCTAGGTGCAAGATCCTAAAAAATTGTTGGTAGCTTTGGCAAAATTTGTTGATGCCTGCCCAGACAACCAGAATGCACTTATATTCAAAGTTGTTTTCGTGATATATAAACACATATACAAACAAACAATTCGTATAAAATGCAAATAAATGGCTTAAACGTACACAAGTGGAGGCCATATACGTGCATATTTTAATTTAATTTCAAACGAGTTGATTTAACATTATATACAATTTAATCTGTAATAACAAATACATTTTGAAAAGTCTTACGATGTAATCCGATTTAATTTGTGATACAGTATGACGGAAAAATGAGTTATCGTATATGGGTCGGAAATTTGCATTCTATACGATTTAACTTAAACATAATGCGAGGTACGCCATTCTTAAATACGATATTGACTTAAACTGTAGCAATTTACGATACTGTCTGTACATTGTAATACGACTTCTGGTTGTCTGGGTGGGATCATAATATACTTCGAAACATTAACATTAATTGAAATTGTTTTCTTTCTCTTAGTAGTAGTTACTTGTAGAAACATATCAAGCCCAGGATCCGAAAAATACAAAAGATTTCACAAGCTGGATAAAGTACACTGGGTTTGCCCTACACTGGGGCAAGTTGAAACGCGTTCAGAAGTTGTAACGGTAGGTGTATCTCTCACTGGAAGTTAATAACCACAGAGATTATTTATAATCTAGTAGTTTGCAGTAGTACACAATGCCTCTCAAATATAATTACAGTGACTATTCACTTCCGCTAAGAAATACACGTACCGTTTCAACTTCCCCGCGCGTTTCAACTCTTAAATTGATGTTCCTGTTCAACAAATCGAGCGAGTTTAGAAACTGCAATGACGGGTCTATCAGCGTCAGCATTCAAATCCAATCAAAATTGATGGACTGACTCTGTTATGATGTGAAGTATCCTGCAGAAGGTGTTCATGTAAAAGTATCTTAACATGCGATACACCTGTTATTTGACGAATGAACCCTTTTGTCATCGCTGACGCTTGATGGTATTAAGGTTCCCACTTATTTTTTTCCCTTGATTTGTTTTCCGTCGATGTTGTTTTCCGTGCTGAGCACCAATGCTACCGACGCCAGAGAGGCAGTTCCCCCACCCCTGATCCTACCGGGGACCAACGGCTTTACTTCCCTTCCGAAGGAAGGCGTGATCAGAGATGTTATGCCTCAGAACATTCCGGTGGCACCGACTGGGATTGAACCCAGGCCTGCTGGGGTGAGAGGTAATCACGCTTACAACTACACCACCGATGCCGCTTTGGGTTCCCACTTCATACTCTGTAAAAACCTCTATTAAAAATAAAAGTTCATTCCAATGGCGACAGTAGATTCATCAGTGATTGTTCATGGAATGGCTCAGCTATTCGACTGGTATATTCTTCCCAAGGGTGGCATCGCATCTAAAATTCAATTCTCTAATATGCTTGAAAAATCTCGAACGCTAACGAATCAATCTGCTTTCATTTGTCACATCGCACTACACCATTTTACAAGGGATTTTCAAAATGTTCATCAGTATTCTCTCTATCTACTCAAGGTGCGTCCAGGTATCCAGGAACCTTGAATTAGGTATCATGTTATGTAAAATGTTTGATTCCAATTGCTTGGAGATATGACCAAGGTTGCAAAGACTCATTTCAGCTAAAATAATGTTTTTCGGAATAATAAAACCAAAAGATGGTATGATGGCATGTTTTACTTGTAACTTACAAGAAGAGGTTACAAAGTATGCGTTGGAAACATAAAACCTGTAAATTTTGCTTTCTATGAGTCACAATCAGCGATTTGCTGATCGCTGAGTGAGTGAGTGAGTGAGTTTGTGAAAAATCGCTGACTGTGACTCTCATGAAGTGAAATAAACAGGTTTAATATGTCAAACACATTCTTTGCAACCTCTTCTTGTATCCTACCAATTCAAAATTTGATCATGGCATCTAATTATTTCATAATTTAGAAAAACATTGTTTTAGCTGAAATGAGTCTTTGCAACCTTGGATATGACTATGAGATATTATAAGTTTTTAACTAAGGTCGAACTTTTGACCCATAGTACACTGCAACATTCGCCAAATTAGAGACATGTGCCCATCTTGACAATATGTTTCTAGTTACAAATTACAAATTACATGCTACCAGGGCATCTAGCATGTTCACGACATAAGCGTCAAACATAACATCAGGATACAAATTGAGATCCACAAAAGAACCTTAATGATCCATCCCAACGGCAGAAAAGCTTCAAACACCATCCACCTTCACTTTGACCTTCTCGCTCTCTATCACTTGCCATTTATTAGATAACAATTTTCACCCTCACCAATCTGCCACAACTGCCAAAATGCAACCAGGAGCGAAATTGTGTCTGATGGGTTGCGGGTACCGATTCCACGTCGGTTATTCAGTTGGTCTGTCGGTGGATGGTCGGTGCACACAGACATGCTTGCATATTCCTACAATCTTATCGGACATGTTCTGAACCACATCACGCAAGCCATTTACTCACTCCGTAATGAAATTCATCTGTCTTGACGCTTGGCCTTCGGTTTGGAGCAGTGTTACATAAATTTATTCCTTGGAAGTTGAGTGCCGTCCTTACATACTCCTCAAGGACAGGGAAAAGAGTGCGGTTGTGCTTTGCTAAGTATAAAAAAAATAAGTGAACGGGAGCGAACAAGCTCACCAGTCACGAAGTCAGTCAACAGTTATCCCACAGACAAACCAACATAACACTAACATGTTGTTCAGCGATCACGCATTCAACGGTCAATTTAAATGTTGCTTAATTATTAGTACCGCCTCTGTGGCACACATAGTAAATTCCCTTGCGTTTGACGTTTACATACTACCGCCGTCTGTTGAGTGTACTGCTCGTCACAGTGTACTCAACAGATGGCGGTAGTGAGTTAGTGACGATGTTTTACAGTGATAAATATTCAATGTGTTATGTCTGTTTGCCTGTGGTTATCCCTTGTCCTCTATGAACTGATTTGATGTAGTGTACCGAATCGAGCGTTGTGTAAACGATGGCAAAGGAAGCAAGTAGAGGAGGCACACGTTCGTATGGCACGCTCCGTTGGCGTCCCTGATTCTAATGGATTTTTGATTCAAAAGGGCTCCCCAGTACCGACGACAAATCCAATGGAACAATTTTCCCCGCAAGCTCGATCTAAATGAAAGCACAACTACGACGGGATTCCATGAGTTTAATTATTTTCACTACGTGCATACAGTTTGCTTGAGCCGTAGACACGATAACAGCCGGAAATGAGGGGAGACATTTCAAACTGGTTCCCCATCTGGGCTTCTCCAATACCGTAGGTACTGCTAACCACGTCGTACAGCTCATGAGGTGACGATATTCGAAACTATGATCCCAATAGCGCATGCAGGGAGTTTGGTGAATGCATTTTGTACATAGTGTACGATGCAAAGCTTAGAAATGATAATGTTTGTGCGGTGATAAAGTCACGTAGTTCACAGCTCTAGAACGGATGTGCCGTTTCAATCCGACTACCACTGATGACTTCAAAGTTCGTGAACGGAAATTAAATCACTGCTTTGAAAATTTAGAGAATTATTATACCGGTTTGATGAAACTCGCCATTGACTTATCGGGCATGAATTGCTGACTATTAAAGATAAAGCATCTAATATTCGTTCAAGCTTCCCGGCCCCAATCATTACGTGCAGCCTTCGTATTTATGCTTAAAGCACCCCCTGCGGTAGGAAAATATCGATTTCATATTAATTAATACCTATCTAACCGTTTTAAAAACGTGCGCTGGTAGTAACCATTCTTACTTTCTCCGTTGTAGTAATCCGCAGCGTCAGTTTGTTTCCTTTTGCATTTTTCCTCTAGTGGTTCTGGTTATCGTGACTCCTAATTTAATTCAGTTCAGTTTTACACTCACCTTCTCACGTTTCCTTGCGGGGGACGTGTCAATAGCTTCTTGTAGATATATTTTACCTACACTTTGTGTAACCTTCATTTGTGCGATGATTGGATACGCGCAGGGTGGATCGTCATTAGAAACGGAAATTCGAACAGAAAATTGAAACAAAAGACAACACCTGGCAGTCGTCAGTGGTGACCCCTTACTCCTCCGGCCAGCCGAGATCCTCGCCAACCAGTTCGTAGAACTTTTGATTATGTTCGACGAAGAACTTGCGCAGCTTGGACACCACAACCGGATCGACCCGTGGGTGCTTGCGGCCCTTCGTCTCCCGCAGGCACTTGTCGCCGGTTTCGTTGCGCAGACAGTAGAAACCTTTCGTCTCGTTGAAATAGAAATTGTTGCTACCGATTCGGGGCTCGATCCCTGAAATGTAGGATAATAGTTCGTGTTGATCTCATTGCAAGGGGGAAGTGAATGAATTTGAATTGATGGGTAATTTATTACGCTTTAAACAAATATAAGTACCATAGCATTAATTAATCATGTCAAAGTGAAAAGCGCTTCACCATTATGAAACAATCTCGAAATGCTTCTCTGTTGATCTCAATCGATTAATCATTTGCTTTATGGAGGGTAGACTGTATAAGGCAATCGTTATATTTTAAAATACATTTTAATGTTTTTCTGTGCATCTCAACACCCGTAAGAGTCAAACAATATTTACTTCTGCTGAAAAATTGGCTAATTAAAAAATCACTGCCCTAACGACACGAACACTGAGGCAAAAGAACGTAAGAATTCCATAAGAACCACTTAAGAATTTTAGCCACAAGAAATCGGTATGAATTTAATTGATTTGCTTTTGAAAAATAATGTTAACAAAAAAATAATAAAATTTAACAGGCTGGAACATAACACTGAACGTTGAGAGATTGCGAGGCCCGTGTGCTGGCCATTCCTCTTTCAACGCTTGGGAAAAGGAAATGGTTAAAGGCGTATAAGAGCTACTTAATGATGATCAGATGAAAATCATTCACAAGTCACGCTTATGAAATTCATATGTGTAGTTCATAAGTCGAGCCTAATGAAATTATTATATTTATTTGCCTCCGTGTTGGAGATAATTCTCCGATGAGACCATGGTACTGGATGTGGTAATGGGAAACAATATCCATTATTCTGACACTACAAAACACGGCTAATAGTGAATGTCGCTGTAATTCTATGGGATTTTTAATCGATTTTGTAGCTAAAGCAAGATTTAGAGTATCTACTGACAGATATTAACATAATTCAGGGAATTTGTTCTGCTAAAAATTAAACTCTACCCATACTCTCGCTCTGAGAATATGAATTCACGTGAAACAGTTATTTCCAGTAAAAAATTAAATACATCTTGACCATTATTGTTGATTTTTTTTACAAATAACCGCTCATGGAATAATTTTCAAAGCTGGAATCATTTACACCAAAGGCCTGGAACTGGCCAAATAGGATAAATAAAATAAAATTTTGACTCGATCTTCTCCGATTTGCATGAAACTTTGTATAATTGTGTGTTATTCGAAATCATTCACATTTTTGGAAAAATTTGGCCTTTTGTTTTGAGAGTTGGAGTATTTAAAACCATGGTCACTTGAAAATTTACATAAATCGTAGAGCATACACTTTAGGTCATATTTTTGCTTATTATTTATTTTTATTTTTGCACGGATAACGATTTAAAATGGCACAAATATCGTTTCCTGTGCAAAAACTTCATAAAAAGCGTACTAACAAATAGTTAAAGAATTTGACAAAAAAAAATTTAACACTTTTTTGAAATTTGTGCTCCAAATTTCTAAAAATAAAATACAACTTTGTTCAATATTTTAATTTTGTCGAACCTCTTAGAGGAATCACTTTATGAAGAGCTTTTTGAGTGTGTTGATTATTTTTCCTTTTAATTCCGTTATAATTGCTTATCATCAGTGCCAAGTACTAAACACTACTGATGAATCCATCTTTTATCTATGACTTATAAATTAATTAGTAAAGCCGGTGTCTACCAAATATTGCAATAATATCTACATTGGGCAGACGAAAAGGACTTTGAAAACATGTTTTAATGAACACATAGCAGCGATAAAAAAGGCTAACGAAGAGATAGGTAAAGGACTTCATTATGAATTTAAATCTAAGGTTGCAAAACATATCTTTACAAAGAGGCACAATTTGACAAAGGATAATATTAATATACTGTGGAGTTTATCTTCGCCTTGGAAACTAGACGTAGCAGAAAATTTAGAAATATTTAAACATAATCCATCAACATTGCTTAACAGAGATCAAGAAAACGGATACTCAAGATTCTTTAGCATTCTACCTAAAACACACATCGTAGCACACCTGTTTGAGACTAAATGTAGGTACCAACTACCAAGCAAACTGTTTAGTTAAATGTGAAAAAAATCAACACACTCAAAAAACTCTTATACAATTTTCTATCAGACGTAATTTCGACGAGAAGCGACGTTTTCGTGCTACAATTTATTTAAAAATAACAAAGACGACACCTTGAAAAAAAAAAATCACAGCTCCAACATGATCGATTTTTTTGTAAACATGTGAATGATTGCCCATAACAGCCAAATAATGCAAAGATTTATTCAAATCGGGGAAGAACGCAAAAACAAATACAGTTTATTATTACAATTAAAATCTACTTTTTTACGTATCTGTTACAAGCTTAAACTCTATTATATCTACTGCTTCAAAAAGAACTATGTTTCGTCAACTGTGTGCAAAGTTAGCAAATGAGCATTTCGTGACCAAAACTGTGTAAGCCAAGCATGTCTATGCTGACTTCGGTTCTGATCACCAGCCAGTAAATTTTGAAACAGTTATCTCAAGATATAATTTCTAATCCAAATTACCATGATTGGGAACAATATCGAACGTTTATGGAATATAACGTTGGCCCTAATATTCCTTTGCAAATCAAATATGATATTAATAATGTTCTTGAACCTCTGACTACTTCTAGTCGATGCAAGAGCTGCCTCAGTACCAAAATGCAAGATTAAATTAGATTTAATCATAATAGGCGATGATTTTTAGCTCTTGATCCGCTTGAAAAATGTCCGTAGGAGGCAATATTAAAGAATACGCCATCCCACAACAAAAGAGGGCGAGATTTGCAAAAGCAAATAAAAAACGATTCTCTGCCCTGAGGAACAAAAGAAAATAATGTGACGAAAATGAACAAGAGCTCCAAACCTAGTTTACCACTCGGAAAAAATAATTACATTTTGATTTTTCTAAAAAATTTGGAAAAACATATCAAAAATCTATGAAATATTCACATTTTTCTAATTTTTCAAAGAAAATACACGTACAAAAACATTTTTTATAAGTCATCATGGCATAATCTAATCTAATCTAACGCCAACACAGCCAGTTCTTGAAAGCATTCTGGAAAATGATGTATATACCTATCATGGTGTGATAAAAAAAATATTTTTACATGTAAATTTTCCCAGAAATTTAAGGAAAAAAATGATTTTTTGGATTTTTGATAATTTTTCCCAATATTTTTGAAAAAATAAAAATGCACCGGAAAGTTTCTCGGGGTTTAAACTCTCCTTAAAGAAGGTGGTAAAATTTTAATAACAAAGGTGGGAAAAACTCCAAAACTTGCTGAGCAGTTTGAGAGTGCCAACAATTTCAGTTAAGGTTGAACTAGTCCTATTAAGAATCAGGTTGCTCGAGAGTATTTGATTATTTCCTCTCGCGAAAATATTTTGGATGATTCCTGGGAAATTGGTATGGACGACCTAAAACTAAAAAGTTTCACAATATGAAAGCTCCAGGTGATGATGGAATTTTCTTTATCTCCTTAAAAAAAACTCTCACATTATTTTTCTTAGTAAAATTATTTAACAGATGTTTCTGTTTTTTTCTTGACTTGTTTTACGTCGATCTTGGTATCCGTGCTGAGCACCAATGCTACCGATGCCAGGGATGTAGTTCCCACACTTGGACCCGACCTATCGACCCATCAACTCATGAACCGGGGACCAACGGCTTTACTTCCCGTGGGAAGGCATGATCAGAGATTTTATGCCTCAGAACATCCCGGCGGTGCCGACTGGGGTTGATCCCTGGCCCTGTGGGATGAGAGGCAATCAGAAAACAGGTGTTTCCACTTGGAATACTTTCCTGATAACTGCAAAAATGCAAAAGTTGTTCCAATTTTGAAACCGGATAAAAATTTCAGCTGTAGCTTCTAGCTACCGTCCATTAAGTTTGATCTCTTCAATAAGTAAACTTTTTGAAAAGGCTGTTTTGAATAGATCACTCTTTTTATCAATACGAACCTAATTTTTGCAGATGAGAATTCGGATTGCGCCATGGGAATTAAACTATTCATCAACACTTAAGAGTTACTAATTCAATTCGTACATACAAATCTGAAGGCTGTTCATCTGGAGTTGCTCTTTTAGACATAGGAAAAGCATTCAGTGTTTGTCAAATTGAAAAACTTAATTTTTCCGCTGAAATTAGTTCAAAATTATTTAATTGATAGAACTCTGCAGGTAAATTATGAGAATTCAAAATCTGATAGACTACCTGTCAGAGCAGAAGTTCTTAAAGGTAGCATTCTTGGCCGTATGTTGTATAACATTTTCACTTCAGACCTCCCTGAAGTGCCTCAGGGTTGCCACCAATGTTTATTCGGGCATTTACGCTAATGGACAATATGTTGCATGTGCTATTTGCAGCCAACTGCAAAAAAGTTGAAATGTTTTCTTTTCTTATTTACACAAATGGAACATTTCTCCCAACGCTTCCGGGCCAATTAGAATAAAGACATAGCATTTTTGGCTCGACGTTCTTCGATTTGCGTGAAAATTTGCATAATTGTGTGACATTCACATTTTTTCAAAAGATCGGTCATTTAGGATCTTGTTTATTTATTTATTTTCAAAATGGCGTCAATAAGATTTTTGAATATATTTTAAAGAAAAGAAAAGTCTTTATGGGAAAAATATACACGGTATTTTATTATTATTATTTTTTGGTAAAAAATCCAAAAGAGGGTTAAGAACTAAAGTATCTCAAAAAGTGTTGTATCTTAAATATTTGTATTATTTTTTAACTAAGCTCATATAAAATGCAAACTTTAGGAGTATTTAAAAATAATTACATAAACAGCGTACTAGCAACAAGTTCAAAAATATAACCAAAAGTTTTCATTAATCGATTTTTGGCAATTCTCAAGCATCAATACCCAACAAACATTGAATGTTGAATAAGAGCTTAAGACTCTTCGGCTAAAAAATGGCTGTTGATCAACTCAAATTGTTTGTTGGGTAGCTCTAAATATTCCAAAATTGTAATGTTTATGACCTCTTTTTTAAAAAATAAATAAAAATTGAAGG